GTGGGTATATACATACATAATGAGTGAGATGTGCACCATCTGGGGGATGGTCATGATGGAGACTCAGACTTTTGGGGGGAGGGGGGAAATAGGCATTTATTGAAACCTTAAAATCTGTACCCCCATAATATGCCAAAATAAAAAAATAAAAAAAAATAAAAATACAGCAATTCCTTTTTTAAAATATTTTTTCTTCTCAAATGTTCTTCATGTGGGAAATTTTAAAAAGGAATATGTTTGAGGACATAATTACTGTGAACTTGATAAATACTAATACTGAAATACAGAAGTAATTTTGATAAGTGAAATTAACTTGATAGAAAAAGTACATTTAGCAAAAATAACTGTACACAGTTTTTTTCTTTTAGAAGTCTAAACAAAGAGGGTTTACCAACTTTCATTACAATGCTTTTGAGGTATATTTTAATTCAGATTTTCTGAGAGAACTCCTTCTAATTAACCTCATTCATCATTTTATGACCACAGAAATCTAACATCCTCATGATTTTCCTTTACTTATCCAACACACATTAACTGACTAAGTGCCAGACATTTGTCATGTACCCAGATCCAAGTGTAAATAAAAGTTGAGCTTGCTTTGAAAGTCTCATAAACAAGTTAGGAATATAGACATGTAAATATTACAGTAAATTACATTAAATATTTGTTGTACAATACAAAAATTACAATAAATATTACAATATATGTCAATTAAAGACAGTCCCTATGAAAGCACCACTAACTACTAGAAGAGGTGATAGGAAAGGTTTTACTGATTGGTCATAAAGAAAGAGTGGGATCACCTTTTTTAGATTCCTCATATGAATGAAAACATGTAGTATTTATCTTTTTGTGCCTGGCATATTTCACTTAACATAATGTCCTTCAAGTTCATACATGTTGTTTCAAATGACTGGAATTCATTCTTTTTAAATGGCTGAATAGTATTTCTTTGTGTATATACACTGTATTTTCCTTATACATTCATCTGTTAAGTAAAATAACCCAGCCAGATAGGGAAGGGGAATGGGGAGAGGTTGGTCAATGGGTACAAAGTTAAGATTAGAAAGAGTTCTTCTGTCCTATTGTACAGTAGGATAACTATAGTCAGCAATAAGGCATTGGATATCTCAAAATATCTAGAAGTGAGGATTTTGGAAGTTCCCACCAGAAAGAAAGAAATGATAGATGTTTGAGGTGACAGCTATGCTAATTACCTTGGTTTGTTCATTACATAATGTATTCATATATCAAGATATCATATTGTATGTTCTAAATATGTACAATTATGATGTGTCCATTAAAAATAAAATTAATAAAAGAGTTAAGGATCTTTGTTTCAGTTGGACAGAAAGCATTAAAATTGCATGGTGTAAAAGAGAATTGTATTTCCATGTGACTAGGGAATTGACTGTAATCACTTTCCTATGGTAACACTAGTCCAATTACTGATTCCTTGAATTTATGTTCAAATAGTAAAAATGTTTTTCTTCATCTCCTCCATCTTGCTAATATATCTGCATCTACAGGAAAATAACATAATGAATCTATTGAACACCTTACTAAAATCAAGATATACTTGTTAATGATGTTGTCCTTGATTGCTATTGAGTGTTCTCAATGAATTAATAATAATGCCAAGGAATTAGAGTAGCTAGGAAATGAGCACATAATTCTCAATGTAGCAATGAAGGGTATATCAACAAATGATTTTTTTTCATATTGACAAATTTGAAAATGTTATATTACTATAAAAACAAAATAATGATGTTGATCTCAATTTATGCATCTCTCATCTAACTATGACAGTTCTATCATATTTCTGGAAGTTTCAAAATGTACTTTCTAGTTTGGAATATTGAATATTAAGAAATAATTTAGGGACATCTTGCTTCTCAATGGTATATTTGTGATAATTATCCCTGATTTTCTCAATCTCTTCTAAATAGATTACTCGTTTAATTTATAGAATTTTTCTCTCTCACACTTGCTCTCATTTTGAAAATTAGGATGTAGTCATATCTCTTGTCTTTTTATCACCCAAATTCTGTTTTCTGTGAATACAAAAGGTTTGTCAGGGGCTGCATGATTGATCAGAACTATAAAATCTGGAGACTTGAATAAACAAAATAGGAGATGCTCTTCGTTGATGATTCTTTTCCGAGTCAATGATCTCTATACTACTTGTCAAATGGAGCCTTTCTAACCAGTTTGTTCTTCACTTACTAGTTGACGAATGTCAACTTTTGTAATAGTTTTTCCCTTTCACTCATTTATTTATTTTGATATGGACAATCAAAATGGACTAACAATATGGAGTAACAATATGGAGTAACAATATGGTCTCATAGATTCTTATTTTTTCAATGAATCAAATATATAACTATTTTTGTTTATTTTGATGTTTATTTTTTTCTGAGATTTGGCTAAAGGAACCTCTCCAAACTAGCTTGTCTTTCTTTTTGACTGTCTTCATCATTCTCTGAGCATTATCACTTTCTAGCACAAGATGTTCTAGACTTATCTTAATACATTCCCTGTCTTGGAGCTGGAATCACCAATTTTGCCCAGAGACTTGGTCTAGGTGAAGAATGTTATTTAGAAACCAAGATAATTGATATGTGCATCACTATATATGTATAAATATAGCTATATGTATGCTTATATTGCTATATATATGTATACACATAGTTATTGATATATGTATATAACTGTGTTTATATATATATATATACACACACATTAGTCCATTTCTATATCTATGTGCATGTTTGTGTACATGTATGTTTAAAATGCATACTTATTTATATATGAACTCATAGAAAATACTTTAAGCCTAAAGTAACACAATAGGGTTCATTTTTTTCTGGTCCATTTTTCATATATTAAATTCCTTTTCTTACCTGTGAGAAACTAGATTTTAATTATATTAATACTTACTTATTTTTCCATCAATTAATGAGAAATCTTTTGTGGATCATCTTATTGTTATGCAGAAGATGTAAGATTTTAATTTTTATTTGTTTGTGTTGTTATCTTCAAAATGCATGATGAGATTCAGGTTTCCTCACCTACCTAGAATTCTTTGTTCATTTTTCAATTGTAATTTCCTTCTGAATTTTTGTCTTTTGGATCCTTTTATAGTTTTTACTACATGTTATATTCATTGTTTGGTTACATGCTCTTCCTTTAAATATATTTACACTAATTTAAAATGAGCTTCTCAGAAAGTTCTTTTTCCTTTTTGCTCTTTTTTTTTCAGTGTAAACATTTATTATGTAACTTATTTTCAGAATCTCAAATTCTTACTTTACCTCTTCTGTTTTTAAAGGTGATGTCACAGTAAATATACACATACACATGTATTACTTTTCTAACGTCTTCAGTATACAGATGACTATGCAAAGGATTATCTCTATGATTATGGCCCTAATAATATTTTCTTCCAAGAATTCTTTACTTCTACTTCAGGAGCCTCTTTCTACTTTTTATTTCAATCAAGAGCATTATTAAATTCTCTCAATTTTTGAAGCTACTTCTGGAACCTGAAGTTTTCCACACTGAAAAAACATGCTTTATTTTTAGATAAAATACATTTTAAATACTATTAAAGATAGATAACCCATAGATGCCTGTTTAATTGGAGTATAGAGGATCTTTGCTTTGTTAATAGTGATCCCAACAAGTCCTGGGAGTCTAGTGTTCTTTGTGAATGGCATCTAAAATTTTGCAAATATTAAAAAAAAGTTATAGAATCACTATAGCAGCCCTGGTAGAACAGATAGTTTACAGAAAATATTTAACTTATTTTTCCTATTTTCTACCATGATAAACAATATGAGGGCAAATTTCTGTAAAAATAAACATTTACTGTAGAACAGAGCTTCTACCTTGAATGTCTATGTCTAGTCCTCCCCAGAAGAATTAAAATGTACATATATATTTTCTCTCTCGCACCTTCCTTCTCCTCTGCTCTGCTCTTTTCCAACTCCCTCCTCTAATAAAAAAAGGCAAGAACAGTGCTGAACAGGCAAAACTATTTTTTTGTTTTTTACTTTGCACCCTATCCTGGCCCTTCAAAATGTTATTTAAAAAAGGTACATAGGGTATATCTGAAGGGATTCTCACCAAACTTTCCTCTTACTGGCTTCTAGCTAAAGTGCACAATCTGTCCAGCTTTAGAATAATTTTCCTTTCACT